GCATATGAAACTGGTGGGGTTCGGTACCTCCAACAAGGTTAAGAACCACTGGTATAGGCTAATACCAGCCAACTGACTGCTGTGAGTTCATCAGTAAATAAGATTACATTTACATATATCTGTAACTAATATTTATTAGTTGTGTAAGACTGATTTGGTGCTGTCTAATCTTGGCTGAAAAAATTCAAACCGTTTCTGAAACTTTTTATAATGAGACATTATTACTGGCACAAAGCTGATAAAAACAATGAGAAATAAAGCCGTATCAGGTAAAACTGTAACCACGATCATCTGGCTCATAACAGATTTAGACAGCACTGAAATTATTGTGACTATATGTTCAACCTTCTGTAGTTCATGAATCTACAAAGTGCTACTACTTTTTCAGCTGCTCCCTTTATAGGGGTCATCACAGTGGATCGTTTGCCACCAGCTTCACCTGCACTCTTCCTCTTTTTCTCCTTCCTGACTGCTTCATCCTCAACATCCTTTGTCCAGTGTACATTTAGAGTTTCCTTCTCTCTCCCTGCCTCCTATCATCTTTTCCCCTTCTGCTGTTAATTTGTCTTCAGTCAGTAGTAGCACACTATCAACCAGCATCCTGTTGGCCAGCAGCACTGGGGGTGGCCATTGTTGTTAACCTGGGCCCCGATCGATCTGGTATGGAAACCTTTTACTTAATGCCCCGCATGTTTGATTTGGCAAAGATTTTACACCAGATGCCCTTCTTGATGCAAACCTCTCCTTTCATCCAGGCTTGAGACTGATTTATTTATTTATTTTTTGTTAAAAAATATCAATCAAAAAAGCCCACCCTGACTCAAGAAACACTCTGCTAACAAATCAGATTCAGTAAAAGCAAGTGCCTTGACCTGTAGCCACATGTGAATCCATACCTGGTACTTTCCAACGTCCTGTCCTCTGGTTACAGGGAACTGTCTTCCATTGACATCAGCATACAGCGTTACGCTCTGCAGAGAGCAGAAATCACCATGAGTGCTCCAGTAGCATCAGTACATCATTGTGCTGCTGGCTGCCTTAAAGTGTTAGAGGTGGACAGTTACCTGTGCTCCGTTGGCGCAGGTCAGGCTGAGTTCAACGATGAAGACAGACTCTGATGAGATGACGGCGTCAGAGGTGGTGTAGGCCGACGGAGTGATGACTGGGTCCGTGCAGCTCTCTCCTATGGGCACCAAGAGCAGAGTTGAGGTCAGCTGAAATCCTGCACATGATCATCTACACAGCATCTATAGATACTCTAACTTTCACCACTCTGCCCTCCTGTGGCTACGAGATTGCGGGTAGTGATTCAATGAATTAGCTACTAGCTAAAGCTGATTAGCATTATAGGCTTATTAACCCGGTATTCTCTCTTCCAGCGTTGTCTTACCTGAGCAGGCGACCACCAGCAGCGCAAAGAAGGCGGCTATCCGGATCATCGTGACGTCTCGGAGGTTGTTTAAGAGGTTTCGTGTTGCTCCTGAGGTCCAGCTGCCTGAGTGCTCGGCTCCTTCCAAACAGTAAAAAGGAAGAAGTCCACCTCAGCTCACAGCGCTTCTGCACCTCTGCGTCTGCGCACCAATGACGTGGACTCTCGAAACCGCAGAGCACCCTGGGAAAGTGCCCCGTCGACACGTCATCAGAATCAAAATGGCCGGAAGTCAGTAGATGATGGATCTAAACAGTTTAACAAACTGACCTTATTTATTTATTTATTTATTTATTTTTACAAATTTCTAATGAAAGCCTCCCTCTTGGTCATTCACACTACAGCAAAGTAATAAAGTAATAGATAGACAATTAACAGAAAAGTTTAAACTGGACAAAAGTAAAAATAAATAAACGAGTGAAAGAAGTAAAGAAATAAATAATACATTTTTTGTGAATTACAAAAAACGTTGTTTTAGAAATAACAGCACAGTTTGGGGAATTAGAATATTATTTTACAATTTAAGCCCAGAGTTGTGTTGATATATTTGTTTTATTTAATACAAGAGCATTTGTTTATAATGTAGAAAGGAGGAGACATGCGGTTGAGAGTGCGCTTCTTGATCTTATATTAAGATATCGCATGGATCAAATGTGTACTTAAACTTCTTTACAATTAAAGAAAGTGGAGGTTCACTTAGAATCAAAGTGGTCTGTACGTGGCCCATGATTTACAATGAGTTTGACATCCTTGGGGATCTAGGGTGCACAGAAATTTGTGACATTGCTTTTGAAAAATATGTAATAATTCAGTTATAATAATATATAATAATTATTATTATCATTATTTAATTATCTCCACCTTTATAGACAGGTTGGACTAAGATGAGTGTCCAGTTGAGAGAACCTAAGAAATCTCTTTATTAGATATTTTGTGATTCTCCTAAATTGAAAATCATGTAAAAAAATGTACTCAGGCTACTGAGACGCACCTTGGTGAAAGTCAGCAGACGACCTGATTGTGGTGCTTTGTTAATAAATGATGATCCCTCCATGTTCAGGGTGATTTGCTTCCCTAAGTAAAGAAGAGTGAGGCCTTTTTTTTTTTAAACATACCTTTAAGTGATTTGAAGCAATATAAATCAAATTTAAATAAATTAAATAGGACAAGACACCGACAGAGATATTGGTATAGATTGAGCAGTGGTGCAGGGGTAAGAAGCTTAGATGTTTGGAGCGATTTTGGATGTTTGGAATAGCGTCCCAAGCATATTCCACTGAAGGTTTCCCCAGGGACATCCACAGGGTGGGACACCTGGGAGAAACCCAGAAAAGAATACATCTCATCCGGCCTTCAATTACTGAAGGAGGCCCCAGAGGCATCTGGCCAATGTTGCATGAGAAAGGAGCATCTCGACTACTTTTACTTAAGCCCAAATATATTATTCTACGTATAAAACCCCAGGATGAAGAAAAGAAATGCAAGTTATAGTCATGTTTTACATACACATCTAATAAAGCCGTAAGCCTAGACAAATTATTTATTCAGCATGTAGTTCAAATATACAGATAAATCATAAAGTTTGAGATAAGTAGGAATTGACGTTTACAACTATAACATTCACAGTTTTCTTGACTTTGTGCCAGCATCTCATTTTGACAGAAATTTGATTAAGAGTGTGCACTTATGCCTGTATTGACTAAAATTATTGACTGGCAGGGCAGCTGTTTATTATAATAAGAGAGGAAGTGCAAATATCAAAAATGCCTACAAACACATTGGTGCATTTCAAGTAGTTCACAGTTTTGACATAGTACCGCAGGCCTGTGGAAATCTGCTGTACATCACATGTAAGACATGACTCAAGGAGACCTCAGAGAAAGGACTCAGTCAAGGATCTCAGGTTTCTAGAAATAGATGTGCTGAAAGCTACTGTCAAAGGCCTTCACGCTACACCTCAACTTCCATTAGTATCATCTCTCCCTCGCCCCGCGTGTCTTGTGCCATTGCTGATCATCTCAGTCCGCTGCATCTGCTGATTTGAAGAGCCCTGTTCCTCTCCCCCTGCGCCCATCCTGCTTTCCTTTCTTCTGGGGAGTCTGGACTGAGGGGGAGGACACAGTGGAGGTGGGATCCTGATGGGTTTGTCGAATCAAAAGCTCCTTAAAGACTGAGTCCATCTGGCGACAGACGTCCTGTAATGTGAAAATAAAAAAGTACGGATAAGAGAGGAAACAGGGGGGGAAGTGTCCGTTTTCTCTACTTTTCGACTTTAGAACTTCCTCTAAGTCTGCCCGCTGCTCTTGGCAATAACTAATTACTCTGCATAGTAATTTACTGAACATCACTCAGATTTTCGTAAGCAGGAAACCCAGACTGTGGGTTTCCTGCTACCGTTAACACTTAGTTCTTCTTTTTGGTTATCAAAAATGGATTTTTTTAAAAAAAAAAAAGGAAGGACAGCCCAGCCACTTGCTCTTTAGCAGCAGCACATTTCCAAGTACAGTTTGGCTCATTGTCCCCTTTAGCAACCTCTGATGTTGTAACGCTTACAGCTACAGACACAGATTACTGTGAGAACCTTTTATAATGGCTTCGTTTAAAGTTGCAGTTGGCTCATTGCACAATGATGCGGTATTTTTCTTTTTAAAGACATGTATTAGGTTATAAACAGAGAGCTATAAGAACAACAAGACACACCTTATCTACTCGAGAGGCTATATCCTCAGATGACCGTCGCTGGTAGCTGTATGCAGAAAGAGATCGGTCTGAATAATTAGGTTTTACTCAAGCACAGTCAGTCAGCTGTTGTTGGGTTACTTACTCTTGCCCATAACAAGGAGAGGGCATCCTCTTTGGCTTACATTGCGGCCCAACAGGAATCTGAAGCGTGCACTTTCCACCTAAACCGAAGCTGCCCCCTCCTGGTGCAGCTGTTAATTTGTGTTCTAGTGCCCCGCTGCTATTAGCTCTGGGGCGTTCTCCCCTTCTGGGTGCTGCTACTCCAGACATGGACATACTTGTGCTGTTGTCAGCCAAAAAGCCCATTTCTAAATCTGCAGCAAAGCAAATGTATACATTTGTTATTCTTCAAAGACATCATTATATATTTTTAATGAAGCGATGAAGTGAAATAGCCATATAAACTTACCATCTTTGCTAGGGGTGTACTCAGTTTCTATATCTCCATCAACATTGGTCTCTCTGTGAAGTAAAGAGCATAATATAATCATTCCACAATACACCCCGCAATCCCTGCATGTTATGTGAACTTAAAGATTTTTCACTGTACCCGTCATCCAGTTCTAGTGTCATGCATTTCTCATAAACTGGTCCCGGCACTTCGCTCTGAGTGGGGAAGATGCTTTCTTGCTCAATGATGATGCCCTTCACCAGGGCGTTGATCTGAGGCTGCAGGGTCACGACGTCGTCATCGTGAGCCCCTCTTATCAGGCTCGGGCCAAAACACACGGCCAGATTGTAAGGTTGCATCATGTTCTCGTCACTATACTCCGACACACTGAAGGCAGAGAGAGGAGTAAATAAAGAAACAAAGAAAAATTAAAGTTGGTTAATTTTATTGGTTGTTTTTATCTCATATAATCTTATTTAACTGCACGAACAGTGGATGTTAATGATTCTCACAGAATGATTCAGCAATGAGTAAAACAAGGCAAAAATTCAGTTTTTCCATATTCAAGTCACAGGTAACAACACTCACTGATAAAGGAATGCAAAGAGGTATCTCATGACGATGATAGCGGGCTCGGGGAAGGAAGAAATCACAGCTTTCAGCTCAGCTGCTCGCTCTGCCTCATTCTTTATTTCTGGAAAACAAAAAAGGTGATGAAATAAAAGAGAAGTTGCTGCTGAGCATCCTTAGCCACACTAATTATATCCACAGGTGCACAAGAACACTCACGGGCATGCTCCAGGAGCACATTGGTGCTGTCAAGGGGGAAGAGTGGATTTTCTAAACCCCTGAAGTAAAGCTTCAGCACTCCAGCCACCGAGTCAAGGTCATATCTCCCCTCAGCCAAAGGGTCCTCTCCTGCAGGGGAAGCCCATGGCACACTGCCCCACATTATTAATGCTCCATGGAGAGGAGAGCTATGAATAGAAGTTAATCTAACAAACACACACACCCCTACCTCGCTCAAAAGCGTCCCTGAGGTTATTGACCTCCAACTGAGACCCCGGCACTCTAAATATCCCTTCATGGTGGAGTCCTGATGGGCAGACAGATTATGGCAGAGTCTAAAATGAGTGCCTGTTTCCCTCAGTCGCTTTTAAACACAAGAGGCTAGATGTACGTGTGTCTGCAGTTGTCTTTTTTACAATAACATCTAATGGTTTAATGTTACTTCAGCAATGAAGACTCACCATGGAGGTTGATATAGCGAATGCAGCTTTCCACAACAATTGGAATCTGTTGTCCTGATGCCTGAATTTAAAAGAAATAATAAATTTCACTGACTCATCACGAGTCAAAGGGAAAAACTAAAATGACAACGAGAGAGCTGAAAGAGGAAAGCGGTGTTACCGTTATGAAGGACAGCATGTCTCCATTGAAAAGTTTTTGGTTGTGCATCGAATTGGCGCTCGAGTGATTCTTTCTGACACGCATGGACTTTCCAGTGTGTCTGCAGAATGACACACAGGACCGTGGAGGCACAGTGTTAAGACTGGTAGCATGAATAAATAAAAACGATGACTCAGCGACAACCGTTAAAAAAAGTTATATTCATACCGAGGCTGATGGTCATTTGATACTTCAGCTGGGAAGAAAAGAAAAAGGACGTAACATATGATAAGAGCAATCTATGTTAAAAAGGAGAAATACTCCGTGTTTTATTCTGTTTGGTATTTTGTTTGTGACAGAGTCAAACACTTGTGGTATTGTACCGTGAGAAATGCAGAAGCAATACCTTTTTCTACAGCTTCTTTAAGCAGATCATGTTTAACTTGCAGTTTAGATACGAGAGAGCTGCCAACGAGGTACTCCTTTACTTTCTGTAAAACAAATTACACCGATCAGATTAGTATTTTTTTATCGTTACCACACCAACTGCACATCATCGATGTTGCCCCCAAATTTGACCGACTCACAGTAAAGTAGAGGTATTCTATTTCCTGCAGGTTGGCCCGTCGTCGGGTGGCGC